TAAGCTACACATGATCATTGAAGGAAAGAGAGAAATGTGTACAGGAGCGGAATAAACACTCACCCACAAAACCTGACACCCTGCAGCCACCAACATTTTGACATACATTCTTCCAGGTTGTTTCTACCTGTTAAAATGACATACATAATTTTGTATTCTTTGTGTTTTTAAATTTTTTTCCTGAGGCTTGTTTTTGCTTAATACTGTACTGTGACAGAGCAGCCGCTCTCTGATGGCACTGAGACTCGTTTGTTAGCGTATTTGACTCCACTGATGTTGTCAGACCTAGTTTTCATCAATCACTCCCCTGTCCAGGTCCTCGCACAAATAGCCAGACAACCTCAAGTGAGCCCCTGGGCTTTAGAAACATGATCTCCTCGTGGCTGCTCCTCAACGCGGTGTCTTAAGTGCTCTTCTTAAAACTTGAGTGGGGTCCATTCATTTCCAGAATGAGTAGAGAGCTCGAGTTCCCTCCATGAGCAGGGTGGAAAGCTGTTATCCAGTCCATTCTAAATGTGCCAAGTGAGGAGCCACTGTGGTAAAAAAACAAGCTGCTTTTTTAAAATGACATTATCTCGTATCATATTTTGGCAAAATAGGTATTTTTGCACTGTAACAAGAGAGGACACATAGAGTTTATGTTCCTAAAATACTTTTTTTCTTCTATTCCATTTTGATACTAACTCTTCCCCAGAGACCTGCTTACCAGGATGCCAAGCTGGGAAGTGAGAATGACTCCTTTTGCAGGGAGAGGGCCAGGACCCAGGGTTCTGGAGCCAGGCTGTCTCTCTCGGGACTGGCTCCTGCCCTGCGGGGCTGTGGGGGGACGCTCGCCCCTGGGACAGCCCCGGTTCTCGGTTCTCCCTCCTAGTGCAGAGCCTGGCTTGCTCTTAGCTCAGCCTCAGACTTGTGACTCTTGGGAGCAAGCCAGGAGTTATCATTTCTTGTCCATTTCAAGGGAAAGAAGCCTCTCCTCTGTCATCTTAGACGGGAGGGCTGTCACAGGGCAGGGGCTGTACTGTGGGCTGGGCTGGCCATCATGGTCACCAGGGGGCTGGGTCTTCCTTTACGACATTCCCAGTGTCTGAGGCTCACCCTGGGACTGCCCTGTGGCCATCATGGGTGCCTCTGGCCCCACGACCCACTCTGAAGGGCAGGACTGTGGCTGGGGGCCAGAAGAAAGAAGGTCATGACCCAGGTTCACTGGGAGCAGATGCCTCCCTCACCTGAAAGT